ATTGTACTTATCCCCAAAATTTACTATTGTCCCAATATAGTAATTATGCCGATCTTATCCGGATCATCAATTAAATATATTAATTGTAAGACCATACAAGGTTAATTTTTTGGTTCTCATAACATGGGACAAAAAATAACCTACTCACCCAGACTTTTATTTAAAAATTTTATATAAAAAATTTTAAATTTTATAAAATTTTTAAAATTTTTTTTTGAAATTCTATCTGCCTATTACAGCTGTTTTTATAAATTCTGGGACAACTAATAAAAATTATTTCGGCCAAATTCGATAAGTTTTTGAATTCGGTGTTATCAGAATTTAATTTTGGTAAATTTGAAAACTTATCGAACTTATCGAATTTGGTTGATTAATTTTTATCAGTTGTCTCAGAATTTATGAAAACAGCTGTAAAATATATAAAAAATTTTTTTAAAAAATTTCAAAATATGACCCGGCGGGTTATGAGAACCAAAAAATTAAGTTTATATAGCCTAATATAGACTAATATTAAAAAAAAATTATAATAAACTACTGAAGCAACTTTATTATATAAGTACTATACTTATTACACGTACTGTACGTACTGTATGCTAAAATATTTAAACATCATAGAAATGAAACAACACTAGTGATGGCATCCGGATTTTATTTATAATTGTATTTAGAATTAAAAAAGGTTATAACTTGTAGTAAAATTATGCTGGGAGTATTTTTTCTTAAGTTATAGAAGTTGATTTCATAGACATGATTTTGAGTTATTTTGATTCAAAAATTTGAGATTTTTGTAACTGCCAGTGACAAATAGATTTGCCTATATTTTATTAATAATGATCAAATAGTTTACTATAGATATTCATGATCATTGCACTAAAATTGTCTATTCAAACATTCATATAGAACTATAGATAAATTTGATTTATATAGTACATTAAACACTTCAACAGTGTGTATATTTTGTAGTTACAAAATAGTGAACAATTTCTGTATATATGTACGTACATACGTAACAACACCAGGGAGTTTTAGATAAAAGTTTGTGTCTCTTCCTGTTTTTTATATGGTGTTAACTAATTAACTTGTATATTATAATTCTGAATATAATTATGTTGGCCACAGATTAGAATTATATTAGTACTAACTAACAATTAAAAAAATTTTAGGTGTTTCCCAATTATTACATATTAAGATTTAATCTAATAGGTCAATGTAAGCAAATAACAACAACAAATATATATATTTAGAATTTGATCATCAAATTTTAAATTGATTTCGAATGATTCGTCTTACGCCCTATTAAGGATTTGTAATACATTTTTTTTTGTACACACTTAGGCTCAATATAAATATCTGTGTTACAACTAAGGTTATTGGCTAATCAAAGACTTTCCATTAACAATTTAATTAACAATTTAATTAAAATAGAAAGCAGAAATGACATCTCTAATTCAAGTTCATCTCTAAACTATGATGGCATTTCTATGCAAAGCTTAAAAAGTTTAAAATTTGCATTTATTAATTATGCTGAAGAATTTATAAAAAATCTTAGTAAACTAGATAATTTAATTGGATTTAAACAATTAGTCAAGGACTTTGAAATAGAATTGCCAGAAGAAATATTGATTAAAGCACTTAAATTACTTAGTGATGCATTATCTTTTAAATATCTCACAGAATATACTATGATACATCTTGAAGTTCACCTTAGAACTCGGATGATAACCATAGAAAGAGTATACTATTCTTATATTGTATTAGAAAATGAAATCCGAGAGTAGCTTTATAAACATTTAAACGACTTTATTAATATCATCATAGAGTGATAAATACTTTCAAACAAGGTGTTGGTATTAATATCATCATAGAGTGATAAATACCTTCAAACAAGTGTTGGCAATAATCTTAAGTCAAAAGAAAAATTAAAGAAATCTCTGATGATAATTATATTTATATGCATTTCCAAAATTATAATATAAATTTTATTAATTCACTTATGTGATACTTTACATAGCATGCATAATGATAAAATATATATGGATAGAATTTTAAGACGTATTAAAGGTTTTTTTTAACTTTAATTTATATTTCACCTAGTGCTAAATCAAAAGATATTTCAAGAAAACTTGATGTTGTTGAAATTTTACCAAACATTACTCAAGTCTTTAATTTCAAATATCCTATCACTTATTGGTATCCAACATGGCATAAACTTTTATCAATTTATTATTTACTAGTGAATTTAAATAAAATTGAAGATTTTAGCAAATTAAGATTCTATAAAGAAATTTATCTTTTTGAATTACTTTGGCAATATATCTTTAATTTAAGATTAATATAAGTATTAATCTAAGCATTAATCTAAAATAAATATTAATCAAAAAACACATAATGAAATTTTAAATAGTAAAAATGAAGCTTCTGAATTTATGAATATATGAAATAAAAAAGAGCCAATAGCACCTTCAAATTCTTTCTTATTTGGGATTTTAGATCTTGTTCAACATTTAAATCAAAAAGCAACTCAAATTGTTAGTTTAGCTCTTTGTTATTATTTAAAGTTAGAATTGTTACAAAATTCTAAATGCAATTATATCTGCTTTAAATCTTTAGAGTTACTTTTTTCATTATCTTATCAAAAATCTGAATTGTTTAAAAAAATTTTACAAGATGATATCTACAAATATAAAGAATCATTATTAGCAACTTCTCAAAATTTTCGAAAAAATTATTCATGATGTAACACTAAAACTTCAACTCAAAATAATGGTACAATCAAATATGACAAGTATCAAACAGAAATTAGAAATTAATAGTAAAAGAAAATTTATATTAAGTATAATTGCAAATGAACTTACTTGCCCAATTACTAAAAAGTTAACTGGAGTGGAGATTTCTTAATTTTAACATGTGGACATTCTATTAATTATGATGCCATTGGTAAATGGAAAAAAGTAAAAATTGAATTTGAGTGCCCTTTTTGCAAAAATAAAATTGAATTAAAATCAACCTATAATCTTCCAAAAAATAAAATATTAGATCTTTATAAGAAATTAAAACAAGAAGGCTCGGATTATTCAATAATCTATCTGAAGATTCAGAAGAACAACAAATACTTAGCAGAAACTTGAATTTTTGCCATTTATGATTATCATATGATAGTTATATAACTATTATATGATAAAGATAT